AAATTTATTTTTGCAAATTGAATTTTCAAATTTGTTTTTGTAAATTGAACTTTTAAATTTATTTTTACAAATTGAACTTCTAAATTTATTTTTGCAAATTGAACTTTTAAATTTGTTCTACAAATTGAACTTTTAAATTTGTTTTACAAATTGATTTTTTAAATTTGTTTTTTCAAATTGAATTTCCAAATTTGTTCTTGTAAATTGAACTACTAAATTTTTTTTTGCAAATTGAACTTTTAAATTTGTTTCACAAATTGACTTTTTAAATTTATTTTTTCAAATTGAACTTCCAAATTCTTTAATTAAAAGACTCGCATAATGAATACTAAAAACTCGACAGATAAAAACATAAATTTTCAAATTCAATAATGAATAAAAAATTTATTTCCATAAAATTCGCTAACCTCCATAAACCATACTTAACTCGTGAATTAAAATATCATTCGGTTAATAAAAACATGAATATTTCGCGATCGTAAACCAGCTAATATAAACCCCATAAAAATTTGAACAGTGCAACAGGGTTAATTTTCACAGAAAGAATTTCTAAATCTTAATTAAAGTTACATAAATGATACAAATGAATGAATTAATACATTTTCATAATTGAAAAGGAGAACCATCGATCTCCTTATCGAAGAATCATCTCAATCAGTCTGAGCATAATCAATCGATCTTTGATCGAGAAATTAGTCGCGATAAACTCGCGTCTGATCTCGTTTTATCATTTTTATACAATGATCGATCGTTCACTCGGACGATCGATTAAAAAAAGAAATCATGAGGGATCAACGACGAACGCTTCTGACAATTTCGATATAAAAAGCGACTTAATATTCTCCTGTTGATCGTATAAAATATCATCTCCTTAATATTCTTAAAAATGACTGCTATATCCAGCGCTAAACGGATCGTGATTATCACTTTTCTAAAAATCGAATTCTTCGTCCGTAAAACAAAAGGGATTTAGAAGAGAGACGAGCGAAACGGATAAAAAATATATAGCAATTTTGATTGTATTTTGGGTTCAACCCTTTAACCGTTTGATCATTGTAAATTTCTAGAAAATTAAATACTTGTCGATAAAATTGTTTAAAAAATAGTTTCTATACGCTCGGTACAAAATTGTTGATAAAAACAGCTATTGGTGGGTTAAAGGGTTAACACAGATCGGGTCAGATATGTTAAAACGTCAGAAAACGAAATTAACACGTTGACTGCTGATTTGCGAATAACTGAAGTCAATTTTGATAGTTTTTGTAAATTTATGAATTTCAAATTTTTTAATTTTCGACTTCTAAACTTCGAAATTTAGAAATTTGGAAATCTTGAAAAAAAAAATTTATAAATATAGATATTTACAATTTGGTATTTTGCAAAGTCTAAAACTTCATTAAATTATAATTTTAATAACAAAAAAAAAATAATACAATATACAAAAAAAATTATTCCAAACAGATTCCTGAAACGGCAATATAACAAGAGTCTACTATACCCTCCTACAATACGAGCTCATCTAATTATATTGCATTAACCCTCAGACATCTCCCATAATTCAGAAGTTTGCTGAAATAAAAAATTAACATAACAACAAAATAAACAAATTAAAAGATCAATTTACAAAAATGAATTCGTGACATAAGTGAATTTCAGTAACAGCAATCAACGTGTTAAGTAAAATGATCGATCACAAACGCTTAAAGCTTCCGGGGATTAAAACAACAGATGGACGAAGAAGTTTGATTCGACCAGAAACGGTAAGAGATGATCATATTTTTATTCAATTTTGTCCGTGTTTTTCTTTGATTCGCGTGTGGAGCCTCGAGGATTATTCTCTCCAAGACGAGTCAATAAAATTCTATGATCGAGAAGAGAAAGAAAAACGAAACAAAAATTAGCTAATTAACCGACGAGCTGCGACCTTTCAACTTTTTAAACTCACCCCTCGATTACTGCCCTCTGTCGAGTTCTTAGACGAACTTTCTTTTCATCAACTTTCGAGTTTTTCGACCTCTGTTATTTTAACTATACTTTTTCTCACAATGTGGACAATTTTAGAGACTCTATATTTACTTTTCTTTAAGAATTTTGTGAATTTACTGACGAGTGCGTTTGAATTTTTTAATCTGAAGACTATCGAATATTTTTAAATTTAAGAAATTTACATAATTTTGTGTGGAGTTGAAGATTTGCTTTCTTGAATTTTTGATCATGTATTTGATGTTGAAAATCAACTTTAAAGTCTGAGATCGAACTCTACTTCAAACTCTAAGATCAAAGTCAATTTCAAAGTCTGAGATCAAACTCAACTTCAAACTCTGAGTCCAAACTGAACTTCAACCTCTGAGTCAAACTGAACTTCAAACTCTAAGATCAAAGTAAACTTCAAAGTTTGAAATCAAACTCAATTTCAAACTCTGAGTCCAAACTGAACTTTAAAGTCTGAGACCAAACTGAACTTCAAACTCTGACATGAAAGTCAACTTCAAACTCTAAGATCAAAGTCAACTTCAAAGTCTGAGACCAAACTGAACTTCAAACTCTGAGTTCAAACTGAACTTCAACCTCTGAGCCAAACTGAACTTCAAACTCTAAGATCAAACTCAACTTCAAAGTTTGAAATCAAACTCAACTTCAAAGTCTGAGATCAAAGTCAACTTCAACCTCTGAGACCAAACTGAACTTCAAACTCTGACATGAAAGTCAACTTCAAACTCTAAGATCAAAGTCAACTTCAAAGTCTGAGATCAAACTCAAATTCAAACTCTGAGCCCAAACTGAACTTCAACCTCTGAGACCAAACTGAACTTCAAACTCTGACATGAAAGTCAACTTCAAACTCTAAGATCAAAGTCAACTTCAAAGTCTGAGATCAAACTCATCTTCAAACTCTGACATGAAAGTCAACTTCAAACTCTAAACTCAAAGTCGACTTCAAAGTCCGAGATCAAACTGAACTTCAACTTCTGAGATCAAACTAAACTTCAACTTCTGATAGCAAAGTGAACTTCACCTTCTGCTAGCAAACTGAACTTCAACATCCAATAGCAAATCAAACTTCACCTTCTAATATCAAACTTCAACTTCTTTAACCAAACTTCGACCTCCAAACTCAGCATCAACCTCTAAACACCAAATCGACCTCTCCATACAAGAAATAAGGCAGCAAAGAAGGAAAGGGTGCTGGTGTCAGGGAAACAGAGTGACCAGTACGGTGGAGGTGCACCGGGTGCACAACGCTAGTCGGTCTGGCTCTCCTTAGCATTAACACGCGATATACCAGAAAAACCAGTTTGCGGGGTCTTTTTATTAGGCCTTTACTTTCGCTTGCAAACTGAAAGGAAGAGTGAGCGAGCGAGCGAGCGAGCAAGTGAGCGAAGCTTGCTAAAGTAGCAAGTAAGCGAGCGAGCGAGTAAAGTGACTGACTGAGCTAACTAACGGGGTCACCAGTCGATACGGACACGCATGTAAAGACAGACGCGAGTAGTCCACACATCCTTTCTCTCTATGATTCTTCAGAGCGCGCGCGCGGACACATATGTACACCCCCGTTCATAAGTACTTGGATATTTGTCAAATTACTGCACTTTGTGTAATTAAGTTTTGGTTTACTTTTTTTGGGGTTTGTTGGAAAGGTTGGTAGATAAGAGTTGACCTTGTGATAGGAGTTGACCTTTATATTTGGGTTGTTTTGGAATTTTTTATGGTGGAAGAGTTGGGGAGATGAAAGTTTGAGAATTTGGAAATTTGAGATTTGAAAATTTAGGAATTTGGAAATTTGGGATATGAAAATTTGGGAATTTGGAAATTTGGGAATTTAGAAATTTGGAATTTGAAAATTTGGAATTTAGAAATTTGGGATTTGCAAATTTGGGAATTTAGAAATTTGGAATTTGGAAATTTGGGATTTGAGAAGTTGGGATTTGGAAATTTGGGAAATTGTAAATTTGGGATTTGAAAATTTGGAATTTAGAAATTTGGGATTTGCAAATTTGGGAATTCAGAAATTTGGAATTTGGAAATTTGGGATTTGAGAAGTTGGGATTTGGAAATTTGGGAAATTGTAAATTTGGGATTTGAAAATTTGGAATTTAGAAATTTGGGATTTGCAAATTTGGGAATTCAGAAATTTGGAATTTGGAAATTTGGGATTTGAGAAGTTGGGATTTGGAAATTTGGGAAATTGTAAATTTGGGATTTGAAAATTTGGAATTTAGAAATTTGGGATTTGCAAATTTGGGAATTCAGAAATTTGGAATTTGGAAATTTGGGATTTGAGAAGTTGGGATTTGGAAATTTGGGAAATTGTAAATTTGGGATTTGAAAATTTGGAATTTAGAAATTTGGGATTTGCAAATTTGGGAATTTAGAAATTTGAGATTTGCAAATTTGGGAATTTAGAAATTTGAGATTTGCAAATTTGGGAATTTAGAAATTTGAGATTTGCAAATTTGGGAATTTAGAAATTTGAGATTTGCAAATTTGGGAATTTAGAAATTTGAGATTTGCAAATTTGGGAATTTAGAAATTTGAGATTTGCAAATTTGGGAATTTAGAAATTTGAGATTTGCAAATTTGGGAATTTAGAAATTTGAGATTTGCAAATTTGGGAATTTAGAAATTTGGGACCTGCAAATTTGGGAATTTAAAAATTTGGGATTTGCAAATTTGGGAATTTAGAAATTTGGAATTGGAAAATTTGGGAATTTAGAAATTTGAGATTTGCAAATTTGGGAATTTAGAAATTTGAGATTGGAAAATTTGGGAATTTAGAAATTTGGGATTTGAAAATTCATAAATTTGAAAATTTCAGCTTTCAAAATTCGAGGCTTCAGAAATTCCAAAATATGGAATACAAAAATTCAACAATTCAAAAATACCAAAATCCAGGATTAGAACGCAGAAATATTGAAATCTGAAAAAATAGTAATCTAAAATTTACAAATTCATAAATCTAAATCCTGTAACCCACAAATTTGAAAACCTCGCTATCAACATACTTATAAAAAGATTTATTAAAACACAAAACTGAAAAGATTAAATATCCCAATACTCATGAACACGAGTGTACGTGGCAAGAAGAACGCGTACACCCGCTCTAAGATACGTATGTATGCGCAAAGACGATTCACGACGCTGAGATATACTTTCGCATACACTGAATGGATCCTCCACATACGTGCACACGCGTGTTGGCGAGTAACGCACCGACACTCTCGCTCGCGGTATTAAATAATTACGCTATCTAATAAAGAAAGTTATGCAAGCCGCTCTGCTACGAGAGACTAGGGTCGCCACAATGATCACTCGATTTTTGTATATTCCTTTTCTACATGTTCGATGAAGAGTGATTTTTTATTTCGAAAATGAAATGGAGGAGAATTATACAAATGTCATCCCTTTGTGTTTGATATATGTGATAATATGTCAGTCGCGTGAATGATGGAATTTTTGTAGGAGCTGTTGTCAGGCGGGTCAAGTGTCGGTATTGTTTATGGGTACTCGATGTGCAAAGTGATGGGATATTTTTTGGAGACCTCAAATTTATTACTTTGGAAATTTAGAAACTGATCTGATTTCAAATTCGGATCATTTGGAAATTTTGTAATTTTACACAAGTCTCAAAATTTTTGATATAAAAATTAAAAACAAGGAAATTAAAAAATGTATTTGATACTTTGAAAATTTAGGAACACAGAAATCTATTAACCAAATTAAGAACCTCAGAAATCTGAAAATGCAGATAAAAGCTAAAATAATAATAAATTATAAATCTAGAAATAAATTGTCAAATTAGAAAAATGACCATCACAAGTGTACCCTGCACATCCCTGCCCTCACCTCGCCCATATCTTAAAACTCCTTAAAAAATTTGAGGAAACACCTAAAAAATTCTCCTTAAACCCGTACCTTTTCTTGAAACTTAAAAATCAAACAAAAATCGCTTCATCGTTTGTCGTAATCATCCTCCGTCTGTTTTACAATGAATACGTTTATTTTGAGTATGTAATATTTTTTACACCGAATTATTTTAAATGACGCGCCATTTCCCGCGCAAATGAAAGAACCGAATAGAAAATGTCTGCCCTCAAACTCTTTCTCCTCCACGCTTTTCCATTTCTTTCTCATCTCTCTTGTTTTTTTCTCTCTCTCTCTCTACGTACAATATTTCATTCTCTCGTTGTCGCACCGATCGCGCCGCTCATCCTCGAATTTCAATCTTTATATATCACGTTACAGTAGTATCTAAATGAAATGTGTTCACAGCCACACATTAATATTTATACATAGATTTTATACATGTATTTATATATTTAAATATATATATATTTATATATATTTATATATTTATAATTATTCTTGTTGCAAACGCCACGCCCGTTAATGTTTTTTGTCTATCGGTTCGCTTTTAAATTTATTTTTTTTTTGTTGCTGAATCTGTGTTACACGTTTTCGAAATATTATTTCTTTTTTTGTATTTTTTTTTTTATGTATTTTAGTATTTTGTTTACGGAAAAGAAGAAAGAGGGACGACCACGGAAACGCATCGCTATTATAAGTGTCAGTCGTGTTTAACTCCAGTCGTGTTCCCGGGTCGTCCTATCGATTCATTTTTTTTTTTAAATCATTTTTCGTCATTTCTCCGTCGTCGCCGGCGTTTCTACTCCTCGACAAATTTTCTATCTCTTTTAACGCTCGCTCTGATTCGTCGCTCCGACCTTCCCCGTTCTTCCGCTTCCGCCCCGAAACGACTCGAAGAACGGCCACCACGCGGTAGACGTCTCCTAAAAACTCTGACAAGCGTACACTATCCATCTCTCTCTTTCGATCAACAATATGGCGCCCGTCCTCGACCCGCACCGAGAACAAGCGTCTGCTCGAAACCACCCGAGTGTCTCCTCTCGAACTAAACTGTCATCTTTTCTCGCGTACGCATGCGTTCCGTTCCGTTACGTTTCTCGGATTTCGTTAGGCACAACACATTTCGTTTCGTTTTTTCTTTTTTTTTTCGTTTTATATATTCGTTTTCATTAATTCGTTTTTTGTATGGAGTCTTGTAGTCTCTCGGTTGATCCCCTACGACCGTGTATCGCAGCAAGTGCCATCGGTTTTGGTCCGTCCCCCCGCGACAACTGAAACGGCCACCGCAAGAGAAGCGAAAAGACGCCCGGGACGAATGTCCCTTTATTATCGTATATCATCCGCCATCTTTCCCTCTCTTCAGTCTTCCTAAACCCGTTTCACCGACACCGATGTCCCACGATGGCTCCCGCATTGTTGTTCGATTCGATTCAATTTCCGACGAGCTGTCTCGTCTACGTCACTCTCTGGACATGGAGGCTGTTCGACGTCCGACCCGGTGTCCAACCGTCAACTGAGGACCAAGCAGCGTTGTTCCTTCGACTGGCGAGGAGGATGCGAGTCCCCGGTATCCTCCAGAGGACAGCAGCCGAGCGGATCGTTGTCCGGGTCCCGTGGAGGGTAGCCTGATCCAGGATGGCCGACGAACGAAGCGGCTTCGATGGTCCGGGTGATGAATGTGGAAGCGGCACGTCGGAGCGTGGTGCCGGTGGTGGTGGTTGCGGTGGTGATGGCGGTGCTAGTTGCGACGATGGCGTCGATGTCGCATCACGACGAGCAGGCCATCCACGAGTTGCAGGTGCACGTGTAGCACGCGGTGGGTATCACTGGAGCGTAATAATAACCGTTCGCGTAGACGTATGTGGCCGGTGGTCCAGGTGGTGCTTGCTGATGATTCGTCAGCCGTTGCTGTTGTTCCTGGCAGAACACCTGGTAGGCGAGGCTCTCGATCAGAGCGAGGGTCTGTCGTCTCTCGTGGCCCATCAGGCACACGGTGGACTCCTCCACCACGCTGTGGAGCAGCATCAGGTACTGGTACTTGAGGGCCTCCTCCTCGGGGCCGACGAAATGGTTCCACAGAAAGCGTACACTATCCATCTCTCTCTTTCGATCAACAATATGGCGCCCGTCCTCGACCCGCACCGAGAACAAGCGTCTGCTCGAAACCACCCGAGTGTCTCCTCTCGAACTAAACTGTCATCTTTTCTCGCGTACGCATGCGTTCCGTTCCGTTACGTTTCTCGGATTTCGTTAGGCACAACACATTTCGTTTCGTTTTTTCTTTTTTTTTTCGTTTTATATATTCGTTTTCATTAATTCGTTTTTTGTATGGAGTCTTGTAGTCTCTCGGTTGATCCCCTACGACCGTGTATCGCAGCAAGTGCCATCGGTTTTGGTCCGTCCCCCCGCGACAACTGAAACGGCCACCGCAAGAGAAGCGAAAAGACGCCCGGGACGAATGTCCCTTTATTATCGTATATCATCCGCCATCTTTCCCTCTCTTCAGTCTTCCTAAACCCGTTTCACCGACACCGATGTCCCACGATGGCTCCCGCATTGTTGTTCGATTCGATTCAATTTCCGACGAGCTGTCTCGTCTACGTCACTCTCTGGACATGGAGGCTGTTCGACGTCCGACCCGGTGTCCAACCGTCAACTGAGGACCAAGCAGCGTTGTTCCTTCGACTGGCGAGGAGGATGCGAGTCCCCGGTATCCTCCAGAGGACAGCAGCCGAGCGGATCGTTGTCCGGGTCCCGTGGAGGGTAGCCTGATCCAGGATGGCCGACGAACGAAGCGGCTTCGATGGTCCGGGTGATGAATGTGGAAGCGGCACGTCGGAGCGTGGTGCCGGTGGTGGTGGTTGCGGTGGTGATGGCGGTGCTAGTTGCGACGATGGCGTCGATGTCGCATCACGACGAGCAGGCCATCCACGAGTTGCAGGTGCACGTGTAGCACGCGGTGGGTATCACTGGAGCGTAATAATAACCGTTCGCGTAGACGTATGTGGCCGGTGGTCCAGGTGGTGCTTGCTGATGATTCGTCAGCCGTTGCTGTTGTTCCTGGCAGAACACCTGGTAGGCGAGGCTCTCGATCAGAGCGAGGGTCTGTCGTCTCTCGTGGCCCATCAGGCACACGGTGGACTCCTCCACCACGCTGTGGAGCAGCATCAGGTACTGGTACTTGAGGGCCTCCTCCTCGGGGCCGACGAAATGGTTCCACAGATAGTTCTCCAGTTTGGCTCGTTGCTGGCTGATGTCCGGGAAGTCGATGAAGAATCTCGAGCACATGTATCGCTCGAGGGTCTTGATGTAGTCGGGCTGGGAGGGTTTGTACATCTTGACGAGCAGGTTGCAGTACTTGAGCAGTCCGCCGCCGCGAATCTCTTCCGGATGCCTCGTCGAGATCAGCTTCTTGTGGAGATGGTACAGGGCCTCTTGGAAATCGCCGTACACGGACTCGCCCACCACCGTCGGATAGAAGTTCTCGCCGATGGGTAACTTGCTGCACTCGTAGAACAACAGCAGGGAATCGAGGACGATTTGAAACGAGTCGACGGAGAACTCGAATTGCCGCCTCATCGAGTCGACGAACTTCAGCTCGACGTTTCTGTGTCCTCGAGAATTGCCGAGGGAGATCAGGGACCATCGGTCACCGTCGTTGTTCACCTTCACCATCTTGCTCACGTAGGCCTCTTTCAAACTGCACGTGGTGATGCGTTTGCGGGATACTCCTTCCGGTAACAGGTCGAACAACGAACCCAACACCGCGGCCTTCACCTTGTCGTAGTTACGCCCGCTGGATAACTCCACTGCGAAGATCAGGTCCAGGTCGTTGTACGGTTGAGACTCGGTCGCCAACACGTGCGAAGCGGCACCACCGTTCAACCTGATGTCGCGTACCCTCATCCCGGCACCACCGTTGCTAGGATCAGTCTCCAGTTTGCTGCGAACCACCGTCACAAGGTCCCTTAATCGGACCTCCAACGTAGGGAAGTTCCCTCTACCGTGTATGCACACCACCTCGTTCATCACGTCGTTCAATCGTCGCACCTGCTCGAAACTCAGCACCGCCAACCTTTGCTGGGGATCTGGACAGTCTGGGTTGTTGTTCGTGCCGTTGTTAGTCGTGTTCTCGTTGCCGCCATTGCTCTTGGTGCCGTTCACCTGGCACAGGGACTCCATCATAGCGACCCGACGCTGGCGTTCCTCGCCGATCTCCAGGGAGCCACACTGTAATTCAGAAAAAAATCACAATATGTTAATGATGAAATTTTTAATCTTGCATTATTTATACATTTAAATAGTTGTAATTGTTATAATTGAACAGTGTTGTAATTGTTTTTAAATTAAGTTGGTACTCAGGTACTAAGGTTGTTCGTATGTGACACAAGTTTAAGGTTCATTGTTGCATATTCAAAAATAAAATAAATAGTTGTATTTAATCGGGTTAAGTTTTCTCTGGGTTGAAGGTCAAGGTGACTATTTAAGTGAACTACCTTAATTTCTACGAGGTTGTGAGAAACTTTTGATGATGATCATCTTTTCTATCAACTAGTTTGCAATGCAAATAAAAAAATTTCGTTAGAAGTTAGAAAATGTAAAAATCCAATAATTTCAAAAGTGTACTGTCTCAGTACTGAAATTGCAATCTCTCAAAATTCTAAAAGCCTAAAGGTACTCTTCGTTAAAATTAATTATAAGCCAGAAATTGAAATTGTTTCGAGAAACAAAGAGAGTATTATAAGCGTATAACAAGCTATTGTCTCAACGGTTCCTTTAATCTGATCAATGACTCCGCTGATTGGCGAGCATCAATGGAACGGAACATCAATGGCCGTAGTGTCAGGGCGACGGTTCACAGTAGAATAAGAACGAACATAATCAGACGAAAAGTTTTGCTTCAAAATGTTTCCCTGCAACTCAGAACCTTTTCAAAACATATATTAATTATAAGTCGAACTATCCCTTATAAAAATTATTATTACAATAAGAGTGACTCAAATGAAATAAATTGTAACAAATGATTTCCCGTACGTGATTACGACACATCGTAACATTAATGTTTCTTGGAATGTTTCTTTTGTCTTTATCTCTCAATTATCTGACAATTTGCTGTCGCCAGGGAACCCGCAGCGATTAACTTGTGTTACTCAGAGATAGGTCATTAAAGGTTGATGTATTAATTGTAACAAATACTTCTATTTATTTCCCTCCGCAAGTGATCACAATTAAATTGAACATTAAAGTCGTAAATATATTGGTTTTGTCATTTTTTAGAGATATTCGATGACAAATGTTACGTGTGTAACTAAAATGTTATTAAACAAAATTTTTATTTTTATTTGAATGTGAGAATTATTATTGAGGAAGATCATTTAATTATCTGAGCATCTTCATTTAAAAATCTTAAAAAAAAAAAATGAATTACTCGAAGAAAAGTCATAAATCGAGTAAATGTCATGAACCGAAAAACCAACTTTCATGGAAAAAGTTAATTTGATATTTACAGTTATCAATAAAACGTTAACCCAAAAAGTCCAGAATAAAGAAACGGGTGCATTTAGCCAAAGAACGGTATCATTTCGAACTCGTTCGAGATCACGACGCTTAATTATCGTTGTTTCATTAGCAAATGATAAGTGGATAACGAGCTAACAGGCATCTCGTTAAGCTTATCGACACGAGAAGCTCGATACGTCAATCGAATCAGTCGTTGGATAAACCGTGAGGAGTTTACTCAGTTGCCGAGTGCAATATTCGCTCTTTTTACGCTATCATTTTCACCGTGCACTTGGAAATGACAACATCTAATCATGGTAACTTTGTTAGCTAATAGCTACACGACACACACACACACACACACAATCGATTACCAGTCGGTTGCGTCACACTTTTCGATCCACTTTACGACATTCTATCTACGATATACACACTTAACACTTTGACACGTATGCGTTCGTTGTTTGAACACGTTTATTATATTTATTTACCGGTTCTTAAATATTTGAGAATGTAGATTTTTCGTAGATAGGCGCCTTCTTGAGATGTGGGGAATGATGTACTTAATGTTTTGATATCTTTGATATGGAGGATGATGAAAATTATGGAGGACAGAGGGAAGAGTCTCATTTACTTTTGATGTGGGAGGTTTGAAATAGGTCTAGGGGAAAGATGTGTGGGAAATGTAGATTCAGAATAGATTAGTCAAGGTCAAGAAAGTGAGAGATTTGGATTAGATTTTGGAAGAACCCAGAAGATGGTAGATGTAGGATTAATTTGGATCTATTGTTAGATTTAGAGTTTGATTTAAAGTCAAATGGAATCTTAGTAGTTTTCATAGGGACCTAAATCCTTAGGTAGATAGACCTCTAAATTACCAAATTTCTAAAACTTCAGATCTCCAAATTTAATATCTGTTTCTCTAGAATTACTCTAGAATACCACTAGAATATCCTTAGGTTCAAGTTTGGGATCCACCTAAGACCTCTTAGAACTAGAATATCCCTAGGTTCAAGTTTGGGATCTACCTAAAACCTCTTGGGACTAGAATATTCCTAAATTCAAATTTAGAATCTACCTAAGATCTCTTGGGACTCTTACTAGACAGTTCTACATATCTTCCTAGATTTTATCTAAAATCTCCCTCAACTGTAGATTCAGATTTCATCTGAAAGTAACCCTAGTCTCTTATCAAACCTAAATTCTAACTAAATTCTTCGCAGACTGTTACTAGACTCTGTCTTTGTCTGATCTCCATATTTAAAAATGTTCAGTCATCCAAAGTGTCAAATTTCTAAATATCCAAACACCTAAATATTCGAATACTCAAATCTCCAAACATTTCAATATCTAAATCTCCAAATGTCCAAATACCTAAATATCCAAATCTCCAAATGTCTAAACACCTAAATGTTCAAATACTCAAATCTCCAAACGCCTAAATGTTTAAACACTCAAATCTCCAAACACCTAAATATCCAAATCTCCAAATGTCCAAACACCTAAATGTTCAAATACTCAAATCTCCAAACGCCTAAATGTTTAAATACTCAAATCTCCAAACGCCTAAATATCCAGACCTCCAAATTTCCAAACACCTAAATATGGAAATCTTCAAATTTCCAAACACCTAAATATCCAAATCTCCAAATGTCCAAATACCTAAATATCCAAATCTCCAAATGTCCAAACACCTAAACGTTCAAATGACTCAAATCTCCAAACACCTAAATTATGCTCTCCCTAAATTGCCCTCAACAGGTATTACCTGAACTCTCTACGCCTCCACTAGACCCTCCTCAGAAGCTACCTAAGCATTTCCTACAATCTGCAGTCTCCACATATCACGAATTCCTCTATATATCCTCCAAAACACTGTTAACACTCATCCTCGCCTATCTCTCTAAACTAACCTAACTCTCTAAAATCCTGAAGACAATCTGTCACAAACTCCTAAATCTTCAACAAATCCCCAAAAGCACTGTTAAAACACATCCCGCTCCACAAAGCCGTTCACAAAATCCCAGGAACCTTGCGATCTCACACAATTTCGTTGCACCACCGAAGAAATCACGAATCATCAGCGAACGCGTTTCCGTAATTACGTTAACGAGGTTATTTCCCTGTCAGGTGGACGGTCAGCTGAGATCCACCTGAACGATCGATCGATCGATCCAAGGGACTTTCACTCGAGAACACCTGTGGAACAGCCACGAAGGCTTACCATGAAGAAGCACTCGACGGAGGTCGAGTGGGTCCTCGGTTCACTCTGGTTCACTGTTTTATTCCAGAAGCTTCTTCGACAGCTAGAATCCCGCCAGAAACGACGAAGGTTCGAAGCGTGCGCGTTTAACGATCGAGAGGTTTCTTTCGGACCCGGAGCGAGAGATCCGGAGCTGATGAGAGGCACCAGCGAACTGAAGCCGACGCAGTGAAAGGCGAACCAGCAGGACCGCGAACAAGGTGGAGGTGGTGGAGGAGATAGCTACATCGGTAGCGACGCCAGTGCTACATGGAGGGGAAACAAAGCTATCACTGATATCGAGACGTGTTGCTACCTATGTGCATCTTGTTGGATGGGGACACAGGTTCGAATTTTTCAAATTAAAAATTTTTTTTCTTAAAATTATAGTACTTCAATTTTTTTATTTATATATTACTAAAATTGTACATTTTGAATTTCTTGTATTTGAAAATTTTTGAAATCACAAATTCTGAATTTCTTGTATTTGCAAATTACTGACATTATAAATTTCAGACTTCTTGTATTTTTAGATTTTTGCAATTACACAGTTGAAACTTTTCTAATTCTAAATGATTAAAATTACAATTTTTTAATTTTCTATAATTCTCAATTTTAAAAATGATTGATTTTTCAATTGCTATATTTGCACATTCTGAGAACTCCACATATAACATCTTTGGAGATTTGGAACTTCACATATGTGCACATATGTGATGTATCACATACTTCATATGCTGATCACATACTTTAATATTTGCTATATTAAACTTCAAATGTTTACTTCTCTATATTTTCAAATTCTGAGAACACTAAGTATGATATGTTTGTAAATTTGGAACTTCACATACGTTCACATATGTGATGTATCACATACTTCACATGCTTTAATATTTGCTATATTAAACTTCAAATTTTTACCTCTTTATATTTTCAAATTCTGAGAGCCCCAAATACGATATGTTTAGAAATTTCAAACATCGCATATGTTCACATATGTATCACATACTTCACATATGTCCAAATTTTCAAAATTTTCAAATTTCCAATTTCCTACTAAAATTTCTCAAACCTCTAAATTTCTCAATTCCCAAATCCTTATTATAATTAAAAAAATGTTAATTAATTACTCATGTCATTTTCTTCAAATTATTCAAGGCCTTGTATTAATTGTACAGTAATTCAAAATTGATAACAATTAAACAAAAAGGGTTCTAAAAACATGAACAACAAAAAATATTACAAAAAAGAAATATAAAACTACACAGTAATTAAGTGAATCAATAAAAAAGCTAATCCTACATAAACGTTAACATTCACGATGCTAATTACTATTCTCGCATCAAACTTAATTAACTTAACGATTATTGCTATTCTTAAATTTATCCCAAAACTGTGAACAAAATTCCAGCAAAAAATTTCGAATAAAATTTGTCTTAAAATAAAATTTTATAGCCGTACGAAGTTTTATCAAAATTGAGATGGACGT